GAGAGAGAGAGAAGAAAAGGACGTTGCTGGTGCTGCTGTTCCTGGTGGTGGTTGTGGTTGTAGTTCTTTTCAAGGTTAGTTCTTGCATCCGGGAGTAGGAATAAATAGTTAACACACGGGAATGGGATGCTGATAACTACATGTAAGGTTGGGTTGTTTGGTAATAAATTTCAGCATCTTGATTATTTTCGATAGGGTGGGTATGAATAGGGGTGAAATGGGTACATTGGGTAGACGGGTACACGCTCTGAAGCTCTATAGCGTAGCAAGCAGTGCCGGGATGGACTGTAGTATCCCCGTTCTGCGTGCACAGCACTGAACTGCTGCTGGCCGATTGTACATGTTAGCATACGTACATTGTACATGCAGACATGTGACAGGTTATGTGATGTCATCTGCAATGCGTACTTTATCATAGGTAGAGGCCCCGGCATTGCTGCCTTCTTGCTGTGGATCATGAACGATGATGCCACAGCTTAAGATAGGATATCATAGGCTATGGTGAAAACACATGCACACACACACACGCTACAGTACAGCTGTTTGTGACGCTTGCTACAGCTCAGAAGCTGACAAGCCTACAAAGCTGATCACACACCATGGCGCACATGGTACACTACGTAATGCAACGCACGACTGCATGCTGGGCCATGTACAACGTTACCATGGCCACCTGGCCAGGGTGCGTCTGTTACTATGGTAACCGGGCCCGGGTGCACGTAACCATGGACACTTGGCCAGGGTGTGTGCGTGTGCGCGCGCGCGCGCGTTACTATGACATACATTGATGAGTGGCACTGGACGCTGTGCGGCCCTGAAGCCCGCTGGCCGCGGCGACACACTCTAGTACGGCGGACACGGGCACATCGGAGACCGGAGAGTGCGGCGTGCTCGAGTGGCCGCGAGTGAGGCTTCTCGTACACTTGACGGTCTGCACAGTGAGTGCTACGGAGGGGGAAATGGCCTTGTAATCATAGTTCAGCTTGACAAAAAAAAACGCTGCATAATGTGTGTGTGTGCTGGACAGCAAGTTTGGACTAGAATACGGTGAAGCAGGCTGTAAAAAATTCCTGCAAACGTCCACAACCAGACGAAACCAAAAATGACAAGCACACACGCAAACACACACAGATAGACACAAGCATGCGCGCGCACAAACACACACACACACACACACACACACACACACACACACATGTAAACACGCACACAGAGACACACTCACATGAGTGCGTTCGACTAAGATAAGCACACCATGTCAGTACACTCTTGCTCGTTGCGGCCGGCAACGTAGACCAGGAGATGCTGCAGGGGATCCACTCCTACTTGACCAGTCCAGAAGAGCAGCCTTATGATCATCATAGCTCAGCTGGCCAGCCGGGAGTGGACAACAAACACGACTGGGTGCAGTCGTGAAGCAACCTGTTGAACCAACAGCCGCATGTGCTACATGAACAGCTGCACAAACGCACACGTATGCACACACTCGCACGCACACACGCTTGTGCGCTTGCACGCACACACGTGCGCGCCCACACGCACACACACACATACACGTCAGGAGGTAATGGAAGATACCAGTCCCACCAGACAGCACGGTTCTTTCACTGCCCCCTCTGCCCCCCCCCCCCTCTGTAAATTTTTACTTGAAGTACATCCAGAATATAATCCGCATGGCAGACTTTGAATGTGTTGGCCATCCCAACTTAACGGCTACTGGTAAATTTAATATAAGATCAGGGAACACGACAAGATTTCGAAATTGCTCTGACACAATGTCCTGCCACTTCTGGAAACGGTCGGACATGGCCGGACACTGATTTGGCAGATTTTGTGATATTTAATGTACATGACCGGGACTCTTATTTTTCACCACTTTCATACATGACAACACTGCACACGTACATGCTACCAAGAGTACATAATTATACTCTTGATGCTACCAATAAGAGTACAACTCCCCCCCCCCCCCCCCCCCCCCCTACGTACTCACAGTGCGGTGCTACAAGTCACATCACACAGATCTCCAGTACATGTGGATATCGGTTATAACTTATTAAGTCATCGGACATAGTGATAAACCGGCTATATTGATACTAAATGAAAATATCAAAAGCAAAACCAGAAAAAGCCAGTCAAATTATCATTATAACCAATATATCGGATATAGCGATAAATCGGCTATAAGGATACAGAATCACAATTCAAAACACCTCTTTGTACAGAAAATATATCGTCTATAATGATAGCAACACACCAGTGTGAGGCATTGATGTCTCAACTTGGAGCCACATGTGTGTTTTCATAGTGTATTCTGGTCTGATGCTTCCTGGATGATGCCTTGGGGCCAAGAAGTTCTTCTCTAGTCTAGACTAGGGAAGGTGCAGTAGCATCCATCACGTATCAGTACGCTACATTAGCGCGATCGAGTACCCACACGTGTATAATGTGTATGTATCATGCGTGCAGTTGAAAATCGCCAGTAGTAACATACCGGTTATAGTTATAAAATGTGAAAAATCAGAAGGGCACGTTATAACCAATATCTACTGTACTACGAGTACTCGAGTTGGCTGAAGGATCCCATCTTTGCAAACGTGATGTGCTCTGTGAACAGCAGGTAGATTCTACGCGACATTGAATTTATGACTAACTTTAGCTGCTGTTGCTGGACTGGATTGCCAGAAGACTGCTCCTTTCGATAGAGGCATATCGCAAGCTGGCACATTTTTGACTCTTCGTTTCCCCTGGAACACGGGCGTTTTCAATTTTTCGGATCGTATAAGCGCGTTGCGGAATAGTTCCTAGCTTCACCAGCAAGCAAGAAAAAATCATTTCAAAACTCCTTCTCGATCGTTTTCTACGCTCAAACTGGAGGTACACTGAAGCTCCCTGCCATGCCGTAAAACCCCTCTTGTCACACACAGGTTGCTGCTCTAACTTCTTGAGACCTCTTCCCAGGCAGAGCGCCACTGTCCTCAGTCGTTCTCTTTCCCAGCGACGCTATTCAATTATTTCGGTCGGACAGATTGTCCGTTCAAGTAAAAAAGCGCCGGATTTGAATCGAAAATGGTCAAAAAATGTCCGATGTCCGACCGTTATCGTGTTCCCTTAAGATATACCAATAGTTAAAATGTTGAGAACCACGACAGAAATTCTAGCCAACGTTTCCCAGTCTGTTCTTCACTCTGAACTGGCAATGTGTATAAGCGTTTTATATGTACTAAAACGCGGCCAACATTTCAGAAAACGCGGTACTACAAAGAAACGTCTGCGCAAAGGCTCACAGCACAGACAAAAGATGCGCAAAGGCAACATGAAGGCCAAAAGGAGAACACACACACACACGCACGCACGCACGCACGCACGCAAGCGCGCGCGCACGCACGCACGCACACACACACGCACGCACACGCACCCACGCACACGCACACACACACACACATTTTAAAATGTCACTCTGTCTGCAAAAGTGCAAGTATGCAGCCTGTTCATTGGCGCACAGACCACATACTGAACACACGCACATGTGCACGCAGATCCACTGTACATATAAATGGATAGAGAAAGGTTCTCCCTCACAGCTTACCTTTGTACTCGTGGCCGGCCATTCTCGGCTCGAAGGGGACGTCACGACATAGACCTAGACACAGACATGCACAATGGGACATACATATGCCAGTCAACATTGTGTATACACAAACAGACGGACAGACAGACGGACAGACGGACAGACAGACAGACAGACAGACAGACAGACAGGCAGACAGACCCATACACACCATCCTTCTTGAAAGTACGCACTCACACACGCACCCCCCCCCCCCTCATACACACATGCACAGACAGACATCACACTCATGCATATACGCAAGCCATTTAGTCCCCCCCCCCCCCCCACATACACGCAGGCAACAATGTGTATACACACAGATACACACATGTGCGTGCGGGCGCACACACACACACACACACACACACACACACACACACACACACACACACACACGCGTGCATACATACAGCAATTTGTGCTGCGATAACACAATTCAATGAATTGACTGCCACAAATTTTAGTGTTGTCTTCAACACACAGCTGATTGAAGTGGCTTTTCACACACACACACACACACACACACACACACACACACACACACGCACGCACGCACGCACGCACGCACGCACGCACGCACGCACGCACACACACACACACACACACACTTACGTTACCTGGTCCTGTCGCTTGTCACCACACTCTCGCGGGCTCGTCAGGAGAAGATGTTCCCGCAGCCTGGCGCACGGCACGAATCACATTTCACGTCAGCCGCAGTTCCGGGCAACGTCGACTGAACCAATCCAGTTGCTCGCTTGACATCTAACAAGGATGGGCACTTTGACGTGTCAAACGCATCACCTAGGTAGTCTGCAGTCATGGCAGCGGCGCAGAAACACGAACCGGGGTAGCGCCGGCACTCGTCGGACGCAGCGTCATAGTGCGAGCCCGTCGTGCAGAAGTTGCCGTCCGTCTGTCCCACGTCGGGGAAGTAGCGCAACAGAAGGCACGTCACTTCCGGCGACCTGCGCTTGAGAATTTCCCGCGACGCTGCCTGTCCGTCCCATAGCATCTCGCCGTTGGGACTGCCGAGCCAGATGGCCACGGCGCCAATGAAGTACTCCGTCGACACCGTCTCCTTCCAGTCGCCCTGGAATCCCGCCATCAGGGCGGCGACGCGTTCGTCCCCGCTCCTGCCCGGCGGCAAATGCCCCGGGTTGAAGAGTCCGGACCGGGTGTCGCGCACCGACAGGCACACGATGGTGTCAAACGCGTCCGGGTCCGCAAACTGCATGGCCAGCACGTGAATGGTGTGGAAGAACTCCTCAACGGCAACGTCCAGTCGTCGCGGCACGCCCGGCTGCCGATAGCAGGTGCTGTTCGCCGCCACCAGAATCTCCTCCACGCCGGTGGTCGGTCGGCCTCGCGCGGCCCCGCCGAGCTCCACCCCCGGCGCTGCCTCCGGGTGAGAGCTCCAGTCCGACTCGATCCTCAGCACAGCAGGACTGTCCGGCGCAGCACCACCAGCAGCAGCAGCGGAAGAGGAGCGTATCATGCGCGACTCGCGACAGCTGAGAACGGCGACGCGCACGTACAGACCCGACAGGATAGTGCGCACGCCGGGCATTGCGCGCTGCTCGCACCAGTCCAGCAGACGGTTCACCGTGGCGCGCACCGCCAGCAGGGTGCTCTTCTCCGCGTGCGAGTCGGCCAGAATGGACACGCCAAAGTTGAAGTCGGTCGCGTACGCGTTTGTGTACTGCGCGTAGAACGGTGGCGGCGCGACGCAGTGCTCGGACGCGTCCAACGTCGACATCGGCTCCGCGCAGGTGGCGTTGGCAAAGCGCGCGTCGCTACGCGGCGACACCACTCGGTTGCCCGTGGCGACCAGTCGCAGCGCCGGCAGCGGCGGGCAGCAGTGGCCGCGCGTCCACGTGTGCACGCACTCGTGCCGCGCCCTCGCGCTCAGCACGGTGCGCTCACGGCACGCCTGCAGCGCGCTCTTCGGCAGCACCAGCGCGGAGAGCAAGGTCTGCGCGTACTCTCGCGACACCACCGTTGACCAGACGACCACGTACAGGACAACCAGCAGCAAGCTGAGCACTAGTATCCACCTCCATGTACGCGATGTGGGTAGCTGGCGAGTAATTCCCATACCAGATCCAGATGCACACATGCCACTACGTACGTATCATTGGCACGCCACCAGAATGTGTAGTTTGGTATTGTTTTTTTTGAAGTGCAAGGATTTCCCAAAGGCTTTCACATGTCGAGCTCGCGCGAGGCGGTTTCCAAACTTTCCATACTGTGACTCCAAAGCTGTATAAGCGGTGAACAGTGAACTACCTTGGTGCCTGCATACAGTAACCACTACTGGCACTAGTCTCTGCGGGCGCAGAAGAAACGAACTAACCTTCAGTGGCGGTGTACGTGCAGCACGAGTTCCGTACGAACCGAAACCAACTACACGCACCGGTATTCCATATGGACGTAGCAGCAGCGCCTACTGATCGGGGCAAAAGGAATTTTATTTTGACCGGGTGGAGAGCCGACTCGACTAGTGACAAGTACTAAAAACGTTCTACTCTATTCTACTGTTTATCGTATTTTACCGTATTTTGTTGGTTGCTTTTCTGCTGTGCGAATAAATGCAGTGTCGACAGTCGGATTTTACCGTATTTTACTGTACAATGTTAATTCTGCCCGTACAAGACTTGTCAAGAGGCTAGGCCGGTTTACCAAGTTAAAAAAAAAAAAAAAAAAGGATGCAGACTTATGATTTTTTTTTTTTTTTTGTGCACTGAGTAGCCTCTTGTACCATGTGTACCATGTGTACGGGCAAAATAACACATTTTGTGAAGAATCAACACATAAAACCAAGAGTACATAACCCCCGGGGCGGGGGGTTATGTACTCTTGATAAAACGAATCGTCAGTATTTACCATGTGGCAGAGTCTGTCAGTACAGTGTCACTCAGTAGGATCACTGCACTGTGCAGGTTCACTGGATGCGTGCCTCCGCCGCCACTAGCACAGCATGCAGGGAACTCAGGCATGGCAGACTTGCATGATCGACGTGGTGATCAGAAGTGGTGCTTTGGAGACCCAACTGAGCAGATCCTTGAGCACAAATTTTCAACGTTGAGAACGGGAAAGTCCCGGGAAGCGCCATCTCCTGTACAAAAACCAAGTGGGCCCGTTTTGTACTGTCGTAACCAGTAACAGCCGTGTTGCACTGCGCAGTCAGTCCCGCTCAATGAAATCCAGTCGCGACTGTGGACAGAAGGCAAGTAGCGTATACGCTGAAGCGAGGTCGCAGGAGCGATTTTTTTTTTTTTTTTGCAAATAATCGACGTGGAGACAACAATTTTATAATAGCAATAAAGAGAACAAATTCTGCAGTCATCGCCACACTACAACGAAGTCATGAAAGTTTACCAGATTTAATTTTCTTGTCACATTCATCAGTGGAAAGTCGTGACTGAAGAGTAACCATGCTGAACAATGATTAAATATACATTCAATGATGCGAGAACAAAATACAGTGCCAAAATAGTTTGTTCTCGCATCATTGAATGTATATTAAATAATATTTTAATCATTGTTCAGCATGGTTACTCTTCAGTCACGACTTTCCACTGATGAATGTGGCAAGAAAATGAATTCTGGTAAACTTTCATGACTTCGTTGTAGTGTGGCGATGACTGCAGAATTTGTTCTCTTTTTTTTCTTTTTTTTCTTTAAATGATATAATACCAATTATCAAGTCAAAGGAAAAAGAAGTTAAGAGAAGTGCAAAGCAGAGCTGGAGTGCAGCCGCCCAATAGCGGACTGAAAACTACTAGTAGTAGGATGAAAAGAGCACAGACGAAGCCAATACAGTCAAAACCAGAGGCAAATGGTATCAAATGCGAATGCCCGCCTCAGCAACCGCCAAGGTGGGAGGTGAGTCCAACTGCACCGGCCGAAGATTCCGGGATCCGCGCAAACACATCACGCTGGACCGGAGTAGGGCAAAACTCAATTTGCATCGAACCCAAGACATAACACAGCTGTATGCTTCTCCAGTCTTCGCGGCTTGAAGAGAAGCTATCCGCTTGTAGAGGGACTCCGCGTGTTTGCCCAAACCACCAGTGGTAGAGAATATGGCCGGAACAAACGACGAATGCTCTATGTCGCGGATACGTTGCTCGTAGCAGCGCCGCTTCTCCTTCTCGTGCTTGGTGTAGCAGGAAGCAATGGAGGTGGCGCGGTTTGAGGTCGCATGAGGATTGAAAACCCTCACATCGATGAAGGTGCGCTCAAACCGGCCACCCCAGATGCCACTTGCCGCAACGTCGAGACGGGCCTGCTCAGTCTGGATAGCTGTGCGATACTGGAACTGCTCCCCAGTGACCTGCTGCAGGTGGGGCTCCACGGAGACGTTGTGAGCCACTCGCTTCAGCATATGGGCAGTGAGGTCACGCACCTCATTGTGCCGCACCGACGGAAACCCCCCTGTGGGGCAAGACAAAGCGTGAGCGACTGGAAATGTGGCTCCACAGCTGCAAGATGATGGCAGTCGCTGTGGAAGCCAGCCGTAGCGCAAGTGGATTCCGTCGCGGAACTCACCCTTGGTGAGGGTCAAGCCATGCCGCTTCAAGGGTCGACAGGTCAGCCAGGAAGATGCTCCCTTCTCCGACGCTAGCGCAATGACCCGCTGCAACTCAGTATCCACAGATGAGGAAAGAAGCACAGCATCAACCCGAACCGAGGCGTCAACTGTGTTCTTCGCTTGCTTCTTGGCAGCGCGTACATCGTCAATGGCGGTGCCTAATTCCATATCTTGGACCAAGATACGGCTTGTCAGGGGAGCGGTGATGTCTCGAGAAGACTGATATTGGGAGGCTCCCGACGATGGGTGGGGCAGCCCGAGACCGCCGAAGCGACACGGAAGAGCAAGGAGGCTGCGCTCCTGGGTATTCACCGGTCGTCCCAGAAGGGCAGGGATCAGCATGTTGGACACAGCATCATCAAGGGGAAGCAGGTACTCATCCATAGCTGGCATGCCTCGGCAGAGAAAGGTCCACTCACTCTGTAGGCCATGGGTGTACGCGGCATACGCAGCTTGAGGCTGAGAGCGGGCATAGTCACTCAGCCGTTGGACCTGTGCGACCCACTCCTCGACCTTCTGCTGCACGTACTGCGTGGCGAACGCGGATGACCCGATGGCTGCACCAAGGTAGCGGCATCCATCTGCCTGGATGGAAACACCAGTACCAGCGAAAATCCGGATGGCCTCGTCGAGGAGTGGGGGCTTGACCACTAGGACATGGCAACGGCGAAAAGCGGAACTTCCGCTTCAGCGGAAACTCCAATCCGCTTCCTCCAAAATTTTCGAAGCGAGACTGGGCCCGGTCACACATGCACTGGGATTCGCTTCGGCGACGAGGTTCGGCGGCAGCGAGCCTGGTGTCGCTCCAGCGAAACCACGTGTGTATGGTCACACATACAAACAGGGCACAACTCCTACTTTGGCGGAAAATGAGAGTAAAGTGGACTGTGGTGTATACGGCACGGAGAATAGATGAGGTCAATGACTATGGCTGTGTTTACATGAAGCGTTTCAACCCGGGTTGAGTTCGACCCGGGTCAGATTTCAACCCGCCATGTGCACGAAGTGAATGGCGCGTTACATGACGCATTGCGCTTGACCCGGGTTGAAATTTCGCCCCGGGTTGATTTCAACCCTCCCCCCAGGGGAGGGTTGAAATCAACCTGGGTCAACAAAATCGTACAAACGTACTTCTGTGCGTATCTCGCGCCAGGTTTGAACGGCACTGTACTGCAGATGCAAATTTCGCGCGAACGGATTCACGTGACCATACAGGACTGTAGAAGTGGACTTTTGGCGGCATATCAGTATTTGACCCGGGTCAACTGTCTTCATGTAAGCAAGAGTACATAACCCCCCAGAGTGTGCAACGCCTGATCCAGCTCTGTGTAGGGTCTTGGTCGAGCGGAATCGGATCTTTGCGTCATAATACCGTACACATCTGAGGGGAACCCGGGGAGTCGCGGGTACTCTTGGATCAAAAACAATGGTGCCCTGCCTCGAGACCGGCCTTGCGCTGGTGTGAAGTGTACGCATGACATCAGAAGATCCGATTCCGCTCGACCAAGACCCTACACAGAGCTGGATCAGGCGTTGCACACTCTGGGGGGTTATGTACTCTTGATGTAAGACTACAAAAAAAGTCCATTCATAAAAAGATTTTTTTCACTGAGCCTCTTAATCTTGTACGGGCAAAATAACACATTTTGTGAAGAATCAACACATAAAACGAATCATCAGATACAGTATTTACAGAGTCTGTCACTCAGTAGGATCACTGCACTGTGCAGGTTCACTGGATGCGTGCCTCCGCCGCCACTAGCACAGCAGGGGACTCAGGCATGGCAGGAGCAAACATGCTCCTTGAGCCACGCAGGCACATACATGTAGCACCACAACGCACCAGGGCAAACCCAAGGCGGCAGCGCAGCAAGGAGATAATCTGCCCGTATGGCTCCTTACTCTTCTCAGCCAGGAGAGAGGCGATCCGCGTGAAAAGAGCATTGGCATGCTTGCCATAGCCACCAGAGGCAGAGAGCACAACGGGCACGAAGGAGGCATGCTCAACTTCCCGTACTCGCTCCTCGTACTTCCGGCGCTTTTCCTGTTCATGGCGTCTGTAGCTAGCAGCGAGGGAGGTGGCACGATTCGAAGACGCAAAAGGGTTGAACACCCGTACATCAATAAAGATGCGCTCGAATCGGCCACCCTACACACCACTAGCCGCAACGTCCAGCCGAGCTTGCTCCTCCGTGACAGCTGTGCGATGGCGGAAGGCCTCTCCGCGATCCGGTGACGGGCTGGAGGTGGGGTTCCACTGTCACGTTGTGAGCGACCTGCCTTAGAGCTCTGGCGGTGATGTCCCTCACCTCGTTATGTCGCAGCGTCGGGAAGCCACCAAACGGGCACGACAGGGCGTGACTCACATTCAGGGGCTTACTGCACACGCAGAGGCTTGGGAGCCGAGGAGGTGTCCAGCCGTACCGGAGGCACAGGCCATCCCGGAAATCTCCCTTGCTGAGTGTGAAACCATGGCGGCTGAGGGGGCGGCAGGTCAGCCAGCTGGATGCACCCTTTTCTGAGGCCAGTCATAAAAAGATGGGCTCTGGCTCTGGCGAGCTCCCGTATTTGGCGATTTTTCGTGATTTCATCGTACACAGTGCAGTGCTGCGAAATTTTTGTAGCCTACAATGATGATCGATTAATGACGACGATTATGTAGTAGTTCTTGCACTTAACTTGCATTTTCTCAGCCCAGTAGATCTACATGATTGTACTGTAAATTAATATTTTTTAATAGGGAGGTTCTGCTATACGTGAAACGTAGAGAAATCACGTAGAGAGCAGGTGTCTGGGTTAGAGTCTACGGCTTCGCGTGTTTTGGCTCCAGATTTCTACGCGGAGATGGGGTTCTCTACGTTGTGGCACACGCAGAGAAAATGCGTACGGATTTGCTGGGTATCGATCAACTGCATAGAGAA